ACCATACATAAGGTGACATCAGATTTTAAACCCAGGTATCACCCGGGACAACGTTCGATGCTGCGAAGTCTTCGAAATTCACCTTTCGGCAGATTCGTCGACAATTTAACCAGCGTCTCATTGCAAAACGCATGTATATTGACATCTTATTTGACATTTTCAATGCATCAGAGTGTTGTCTATTATTATCGATAATTGCGCATTCAACGTGGTAGCATATCACGTCTGAAGCAATTAGGGCTTTCACGGCTTTACAAACTCTATCAACAACCAACACCCTGGGTGTGAGCTCTATCTTTCTCGCCAATGTCACTTTGGTAAGGGCCACGCTCCATTCCATCGACCACTTTCTTTAGTACAATAGAACCCAGTAGGTCTCTCTGCGTTTGCTAGAAGTCGACATTTTCCCGTGGGGTGTTCATTGGATGACTTTGCGTAGGAGCCCTACCCTCCGTACTTATCGGCCGAGAGCGAAGGGAAGCAAAAGGCATAGATGTTAAGTATTGCAGGATAAAACATTAGCGATTGCAGCGATAATGCTCAATAACAAAGTGATATTTTTCCTCAGCAACGCCGTGGTCCAGGGCTTCTGGCATTCTCATTGAGCTTCCACTTCCAGTACTTCATACGACGAGCGTTGCACTCCGCATTCAATACATCATTTATCGATTCCTGAAATGAGATTGAGTTAAAGGTATCGATGCGAGCTATACATAATGCAATTTTTTTGAAAGGTGTTAGCTGATCAGCCCCCAAAAGAGGATACTGTATCCGAATCTGAGGATACTGTATTCGAATCTGGCATTTTCAATGCATCTGCGTATTGTCTACTATTTTTGGCCGTTGCTGTGATGGCTTGACGCAGTAACCAAGATTGGAGTAGTACTGTCCTCTGATTACTGCCCTCTTACCCGGGTGAAAATTTTTCAAAGTCACCCTATATGTAACGGGGTTTCTCGTGCCCTGGTATGAAGGGTGTGGGTCACACAATGGTGTGGTTTTCAAAGATGGTGGGATCACAGAATGGTATGGGTTTTAAATAGGGTGGGATCACACAATGTTGTGGGTTACACGAGATGGTGTGACCACGCAATTATGTAGCTACGTTTTAAAAAACAAGTCGGTACGTGACTGAGATAGCCAGTACTTATACATTAAATCAGGTTTACTAACGGATTTGTACGAATAGTGATCGGTCTTTTATTTACTATTAGCCTCAAGAAATCGATCACTTTTGACAGGAGGTCTACAATTCGTAGAGGGCTACGATATCTCGACGACATCAACGTCATCCAAGGCTTGGTCTTGTTCGTCTACATTGAAAGGATCACCCTCTCTTTCACTGTCGGCATTGCTCCACCTTTGCTGAAATTTCCTCCCGTAGAAATCATGATTCCAAATAACCCACTGTGACGGGCTTTTGTGAAATCCTGCAGCTTCAATGGAGTTCAAGACCACTGAT